GGTGATCCATGTAATTGTACAATAGTAAGAGCTGAGGTTGTGGGTACAAATTCCACTGGGGACAAAGTTAGTGCGACAAGTACCTACGAGTACAAGCACTTAGGGACCCCGCGCACTAGGTAACCAAGAGTGTTCATATACCAGATTGGCTGCCTAGTGCGCGGGAGGCCCCACATTCATGTATGTTGTAGATTAATAATAATGTAGGTCAGTACCTGTTAAAGTTGATTAACCCAATTTTTAATCACCATGATGATACTTAAATTCAATAATGTCTTTTGGATTCAAACACAGTTTAATTTTTCCAGGAGCAGACACACATTTTCTCGGAAGGCAAAAGTATTTTCTTTAATTTCTATCAGGTAGGTAGTTTGACCACACACGTGCCCACAAATATTTGTCAATTTCTTTATTCGATGTAGCCTCGTTTCAGATCATACATTATTATGACTTGATGATTACACTAAAGTGGCAGAACTATAACAGTGACTTGATACTTTAATACGTAACATTTTGTATCTACAGAATTCCGGACTTATTACTGAGTCACCTAAGCTTCGCCGCACTCTCCTAATGAAGTAATGAAGTAATCATCTCATGAACCCAATAACAAAGTACCTAATCATCATCTATTCTATACTATTCTATACTAATATTATAAAGCTGAAGTTGCGGAACATGACGCTCAACCACCATAAGGAGTTAGAGTATTTANAAAGGTATTTTCTTATAATTTCTATCAGGTAGGTAGTTTGACCACACACGTGCCCACAAATATTTGTAAATTTCTTTTTTCGATGTAGCCTCGTTTTAGATCATACATTATTATCTTGATGATTACACTAAAGTGGCAGAACTATAACAGTGACTTAATACTATAATACGTAACATTTTGTATCGACAGAATTTCGGACTTATTACTGAGTCACCTACACTTCACCGTACTCTCTTAATGAAGCAATCATCTCATGTACCCAATAACAAAGTAATCATAATATTATTTTCCTAATTCCTAAGATAAATGCTCAGCCAGATTACTTGCGAGAAAAAGACGGACTCTGATGTAATTATCCCCAAAGATGAGTAGAACATGTTTGACTACCCGCCCACTTAAAGGGCTCACAGACGAGCGACATTATGTCAGCAACTGCTTGCGATAGTGACTGTCGGCGACAGTCTCCGACTCGCGCCTTTCGCTGTCATGACATGTTGATACTCTCTGACTGCCGAGTGACCGCAGAGTCGCGATGCATCGGTCGCCGATCGTTGCAGACAAGTCGCCGAAGTAGCCGATAACCTACTGTCGCTCGTCTGTGAGCCCACTTATGTTTTCCTTTCTCCAACGAGTGAAGGGTCGAAGTCTAACTCCCATATTCTTCTGATTGTTCTTGTTGCGGGTCTAAAGGCAGTTTAACTTTCCCTTTGAAGTACCCGACCTTAACTATTCGAGTTTTATTGGAGGTCAATGGCGTATCCACTTGAATTGTTGAAGTGATGGGAAAGAGAAGAGGGAATTTCCATTATACAAATGACAATTAAAATGTTTAAATAGGATTTTGATTTGGTTTATCAAGTACTTAAAGGTTGAAATTGTGATAGTACTTGTCCATTTAGTGACATTGTCCTTAATTAGATCATATAAAATTCACACGATGTAGAGTATTAATGATATTATTGAGTATCGAAGATAAAGAGTATTGAAGGCCTAGCACAACCATATTGTAAACTATAAGTTGAAGACTAATGGTGAAAACTATTACCTTAACTTCATTCCTAAAGTTATGTTATCTATCTAAATCCAAAGTAATGAAATGAGACAGACTCAAAACGATTCGATCGAGGACGACCTCATCAAGTATTCCAAAGCGTCGTCGAAATGAATCGCCCTTAAATATGATTTCCCTGGGGGAGACATAGGTATTAAAGTAAGCTTTCTACGAGGCTGAGTTATTTTCTTCTGTTACCGATTTTTCAATTGGCTGGCTAAACAACTTTAATGGAAGTATTATGTTTAGTTCATTAGGCTTTAGGCTATTTATTTTTATTATATTTCTCAGGACTGTTACCTATTTTATATCTGTTTACGTACATTTATTGCGGGAAAAAGTAGGACGAACTAATTGCTGATATCTCTGAAGGGACTAATACTATGGTATTAAATCTTCTCTGAGTCATCATGTATAGACCAGTGGGTCTAGACAAAGTGCACATTTTAATCGCAAACCAGTCGAAAAGTGGTCGAAAAGCCTTTTTTTGTATGGAGTTTTGACGGATTCGATTTTCGATTCGATCAAAAAGTGCACTTTGTCTAGAGCTGTGGGTAAGACAGTAGAATAGTGGAATAGGTAGGTGGTCATGACCAAACTGACAATCATCTAATAGGGTGATTTTTGATTTTTCAAGTATAGAAATACCTACCTATTCCACTACTCTACTGTCTTATCATGGAGTAATCTAAAGTCAACCATGGTATCAGATTGTATGAGCAACCAAAGGCATCTTTTCGGGAAATCATGAAACTTCGTCGTCCAAAGAAAATTTTTAGGAACTCTCAAGGCAATAAAGACAAATAATCAAAGTGATTTTATAAAATTTATTTAGGAACAGTCTCAAAAGCTTCTTCTAGTAGAGTCGGCTCTCTCTTATTATAGTTATTATTTCAATACGCGCTACGTTTACCTAGTGATGAGACACGAATATAGTTTTTCCAAACGAGTAAGCCCTTTCGGGAAATTCTCAAAATACTATCTCATAAGGATTCTTCAGCTCATATCAAATGATTTGACTAGGGAATAGCCTGGAATAGGTTTACTTTATGATGCTAGCCCTAGTTCTACATCACTTCAGGGCCTGGGAATTGAGGTGTACGCTGATTGATGATGACACATTAGACCGAATATATTACACGTGGCTACGCTATTGAGCAGACTTGGCTTTCGAGAAAAATTGGAAACGAAATTGATGGTAGCCTTTTACCTTGGGGGTTGGTTTATTTAGAAATATTGGCAGCCATAAAAGTAAGTATATTCCCTAGTTAACAATTTTATTTCACAGGTTTCTGAACGCTTTTCAATCTTAATAATTGCGTCGAGTATTGTAGTAAGTTGACTGTGTACGCACAATATTCAATTTGTAGGTAATATTAGAGGGAAGTTATTTTTATTCGATTATTTCTTCCACGAAACTTAATTCCTTTTATAATAGAAAAGAACACCTGTTCTGTGGAGGAAAATACTCAGAGATCGATTTCCTCGTAAAAACAAATTGAGTTGTAAAAGAGGTTATTGGAAAAATGATGAGAAAGTATAGGTACGTTAAAGTTTCATGTTACTTAGGTTTTTAATTTTGTATGAGATCTCTTCTATTTTTTATTTTATCGACTTTTCCTATTTCTTAAGTTGTGTTACGTTGCGTGATTATTTATAAGTAGGCAAATAAAGTAAATAGGCTCTGTTACTTCGATAGTGACTAGTGGAAGTTTATAGATGAAAAGAGTGGACTGTATGAAATTAATTGTCTATTCGGTATATAATTACAAGATTATCGAGACCGTTTAGTGCAAAGTCGTTGAAGAGAGTGCGTCAGGATCGTCTCCTTCGAAGTTCGCTCGCGAACCGAACATTGCTCGTTCGTTCGCCGAACGCTCGCCGCTTCCTCCGGTCACGCCGCCCGCGGGCAATGTTCGTGAGTAGACAGGCTCATAAAGTTTATCGCCAGTTATTATAAATACTGTTAGTACTGCTACAAACTGTTTTGGTTATCACGTAGTAGATTTTTAGCTAGTTCAATACGAGGTTTGCTGGACAGGGTAGGCTCCTTTTCCCACTGGTCACTGAGCAGGGCCTTACAATCGATTTTAAAGCCCTTGATCATTGCGTGCCCAGGGTAGGTTAATGACGGTTCTGGATCATGAACCAAGTGCTGGGCTTGGGGGTCTCAGTGTATGGCAACTTCCAGCACTACCCGAGTTACTAGTCACTAGCCAGACCACTTGGTGTGGAACCCGTACATTTGAGGCCCAGCATGAAAGCGCGCAGCATAAGTACGCTACTGGCTAAGGCCGCATGAGCTAGAGGACACCGCCTGACCTTCGTATCGAAGTTTACGCATCGTCCAGCTCTTCGGTAGCTACCGGTTACTCACCAGATCGCTTGGTGTAATGCCCATACAGCCGGTTGAGGTACAGTGTGAGGACAGCAGGGAGCAGCATAAGTACGCTACTGGCAAGTTGCCAAGTTCACGCATCGTCCAGCCCTTTGCTAGCTATTGTTAAGTCTAAACTATTAGGAAGTCGAACCTTAATTTCGAACTCCTCCTATGTATTTTTGATTAATTTCGTTGCGGGTCCAATGACAGTTTAACTTTCCCCCGGGACAAGCTTGACCTTCATTGGTTGGGTTTTTATGGCAGTCAAGCTGTAGATCCTGGACACAGAAGTTGCAGCGGTGGGAACGAGAGGTGGGAATAGTCCCGTTTAGCTACTGTTTACTCACCAGATCGCTTGGTGTGATGCCCATACAGCCGGTTGAGGTCCAGCGTCAGCACAGCAGAGTGCAGCGCGCAACAAAAGTACGCTACTGTCGCATGAGCTAGAGGACACCGCCAGACCTTCGTCCCCAAGTTTACGCATCGTCCAGCTCTTCGCTAGCTATTGTTAACTCACCAGATCGCTTGGTATGGTGCCCATACAGCCGGTTGAGGTCCAGCGTGAGGACAGCAGGAGGCAGCGCACAGCATAAGTACGCTACTGGCTAGAGTATGAGGGCCGAATGAGCTGGACGACATCGCCAGACCTTCGTCCCCAAGTTCACGCATCGTCCAGCTCTTCGGTAGCTACTGGTTACTCGTGCCCGTACAGCCAGTTAAGATCCAGTGTAAGCACAGCAGGAGGCAGCGCGCAACAAAAGTACGCAACTGTCGCAAGAGCTGGAGGACACTTCCAGACCTTCGTCTCCAAGTTCACGCATCATCCAGCCCTTCGCTAGCTATTGTTAACTCACCAGATCGCTTGGTATGGTGCCCATACAGCCGGTTGAGGTCCAGCGTGAGGACAGCAGGAGGCAGCGCGCAGCACACCGCTAGGAGCGCGGCGACGCACGCCGCTACACGGCACGACGACATCTCTGCAACAAAAGGATTCATCATCAGCATCATTATTATCTAAGATTACACTAGAATAGTTCGAGAAGCGATTGAAATTAAGAAACATAAAAAATGTAATTGTAAGGACGGATTAAAATTGTCACCAGTGTGGAATCCTGTAATTAATAAATGCAAACCGCGAATTTTGCCGTCAAGTACGAATACGGATAGTACTGTGAGTGTTGTGTGTCGTGGTAACATCACTAGTGGTACTGTAACAAATGACAATATGAGGGTAGTTGAAAATTTTCAAGCCCGCCCAAACGGACGACGCCGCGAGCCGCCAGTCTGCTTGTGACCACGGCTCACTAACTCATTAATAAACGGCGCGTTAAGACCCGTGTCTTACTATTTTAATCATTATTATCATCATAAGGTTGATCATTGTGGTCCACCCGTAAGGTGGACCTCATAAAGGTAGCAGGAAGGCGCTGGATGCAGGCCGCTACGAACCGGGCGACGTGGATATCGGGGGAGGCCTATGTTCAGCAATGGACGTCCTGTGGCTGAATTGATGATGATGGGTCATTAGTCTCCACAAGTAGAAATCGTTGGGGGAATATGTTCAGCAGTGGACGTCCTGTGGCTTAAATGATGATGATGATAAAGGTCGTTAGTCTCCACAACAGGAGCACGCACGGGAAGCGCCTGGATGCGGGCAGCGTAGGGCCTGTCTTTACGGAAATCCTTAGGGAGGTCTTTGTCCAGCAGTAGATGTCTTCTGGTTGAAACTATTTACCAGAGACAAATGGAGGATTTGGCCTACACTCTACAGCTGGCGAGGTCAATAGCTTATGCCTTGATCACACCTACCGAGTGGACGGGCGAGACAGTAAAATGATACTAGGCCAAGAGAGTTGGGTGAGCGAGTCACCTACTCGAGCGCTCGGCCGAGCACTCGTATATTCATAAACACCGAGTATTCGGCCGAGAGCACTGCCTCACCCGTTTGCTCGGTACGTGTGATCAAGGCATAGGGCAATTTTAAATTTTTTTTGGAATGAAAATTGAAGGCCACTATAGTCCAAAAGTATCGGAATGCCGGAATTTTAAATCAAACGATTTCGAAATCATGTCATGTCGCTAAAAATGCAATCCTTTGAGAGACTGTTGCATAAAATTCTGAAAAATAAAGCATTCAAATTCAGCGAAATGTGCAGATTTCGAATTCTTCTCACGTCTTGGCCGCATAAAGTGGAACTCTGGCATCCACTCAAAGAAAGTTTAATGATGTTTGATATTTTGGATAAAGAAGGTCGAGTCCGATGGGATTTGTAGCATTATTACTGGCGTAGGAAATGTTAAAACGAGATGTAAATGACGTGAACAAGAATAAGAGGAAGTACAGTCGATAACACATTAGATTTTTTGTTGTTGTAGAAGCAAAATCGCATAATTATAATGCTGTATAGAGTTGAAACTGATATGCCGTCGTCATTTTCCCCATTGCTGTGTCACCTCACATCACTCTATCTCTGTATCACTATTAAGCTTCTTTAAATAATGCTACGATCAATACAAAGTACATTATTATCATTTTTTGTAACATAAGTAGGTTAGATAAATAAAATATTCATTTGGACCCAAACTATGATCACAAAAAACTGTTTCTTGGTTTTCTTTTTTTCATACGAGTAAAACGTAATAAGGAAAATACAGAATACTCCTTATTTTGTAGGTAAATTAGTTTTTCCTACATATTACTGAATAATAAAATAAGTTGTGTACCATGACTTAGGTACAATGTGCTTACCTAGCTTTTTCCTTCATAAAGTAAATGTATAAAAACTAGATGTAAAGTATAATCTTTATTAATATGCATAATAAAACCTAGAGATATTTAATGACCATTCGGGAGCGGGCATGACCCCTCTTAGTGCTTATTAATTATGGACCTTTCATTAAATGCCGCTGTATTTCATTAAAATAATTCAACGGGCCATTTTTCTTATGTTAATGAAACTGCTGTTGGGTTTATTCAAAACGGTGTAAATTATACGGTATTCAGGCTTAGAGAGTTATAAAAAATTAAGGTGTAAGGGATTCAGTGGGCAGATATTTTTCTTCTGATTAAAACTCTGCTTAGAATAAAGAAAAAAGTAGGTATAATAAGTTGAGAAAAGTTCACATTTCTGGATTAATACTCAATTTTCATTTATTTATTCAGCCTTACAATATGCATTATGAAGAGAGACTTGAATTTTGTTTAACATCGTCTCGTCGTTTCTATCAGGTAAAACGACAACCTTGTTTTGGAATTCTCGAATAGAGAAATCTGGCAGATATCTACTAAAATTATCGGGTTATCAACACGCATCATTTGTATTGTACAGGTAACTATCTAATCTATCAAACCTTTTACTACTTGGCTACTTCTACTGACAGAGGCTCATTAAAAACAAGCCTCATTACTTCTTTCTTTTAGATTATCAGAAACTTATTCTGTAAAGTCAAGCCCTCAGTACTTAACACAATTAAACCAAGTTCTAAATGAGCATGTAGGTTTCCCTCCAAGTTATCCCAATTAGAGTCAAGACGATCGTATTATCCTCTCGTCGATTAGTTTCGAATTAAACGAAGTTCAACCCTAATCGATAGTTAACGTTCGAGTAACTTCGAAGTTTTGCTTGAGTGGATTTTTAGTTCGATAACTTGGAGAAATTTAATACTGTTTTAAGTTCTATAGTGGGGTTGCTGCAGCTTGAGATGCTTTTGATAATAGTTTTGATCATAAGAAACTTTGAGAAGTTATTTTTCTCGGTTGATTTGTTTTACTGCACGCTTAAATTATTCTAGCATTTTCTATCTATCTAAAACCTTTATTCGATTTATTTGTTAGTACTCGCTAGAGAGTCATTTGTTTTGCTTAATTTATTTTAGACTAATTCAATGAGGTGTTACAACAATTTAACTAAAGTTTTGAATAATTAACAGAATTAAACATGATTTAGCAACCCGAGAGAGATGGCTGAAAGTGATTTATGCCTTTGCTATAATGTTTACAAGCCGTAATTAAAAAAGCAAACGAAAAAGGCCATTATGCTGTTTCATTAAAACGAATAGGGCCATTCCACTCTGGGTTCTTTTGAAAAGCAAAAAAAGAACAGTCTCCCTTCTCGAGAGCAATTAAAACAGTTCTCGACAACAAAAAACAGAGTAGTTACTAATGTTATGTTTCAGAGGGTAAGTACTTATGTGTGTAATTATGAATGTTGCACGTTTGTTTCCAGTACCGTTTTCAGGCTTTTTAGGTAGGCGATGTCATTTGGTTTGTTTTATTTCTACTTTCATTCTTAATTAAAAGTTGTAGATATAGGTTTAGTGTAGTTTAGGTATAGATTTGTCTCATTAACCGCTCGTGTTAAGCTCATGTTTGTATTACGGGTGGGTTCACCAAAATAGATTAACTACTTGACAAACATTAACAACAATACCTTAAAAATAAAATTGATATTAAGTGACTGTTTACAGGCCGTGGTGACCACTACCATCGAGACTCACATGATAGTTTGCCTAAAAATACTCTATAGGCATTAAGAATAAGAATAAGAATAAGAAATTAATTCATTATGCAATATACCTACAGTATCACAGGAAAGGCGCTGGATGCAGACCGCCACCAACCGGCCATTGTGGAAATCATTGAGGGAGGCCTATGTTCAGCATTGGACGTCCTGTGGCTGAAATGATGATGATGATGAATATGATAGTTTTCATGACTGTTACGACAGTATAAGAACCTACATGAGTAGGCTGATCCTTCTAGGCTGTTGCCAAGTTAGCTGAAGTTTGAACTAATTAAAAGTTTGCGGTTTCTGCCACTCGCCATTAACCGAATGTCACTTGTAGCTTTAGTGCTTGTGTTGTTATGTAGTGACGTAGGGTGTTTTGGTTACGGATATTTTTGGGTATTTTTGTTACTATCGAGCTTATGAAATTAAAATTTCTAAACGATTAGAGTCGCTTCCAGGCTAAATTTGAAAGGCGGGAATCGAACCCAGGAATTCAGTTAGGCAGTTCGATTTTTTCAAGTTGTTTATTGAAAAAAAGCTAAAGAAACTTTTGAATGATTTTGTGTGAATTACGGATAGTGACGTCGCTTCGTGTGCTCTATCATAATTCGAAGTCCATTTAATTCTAAATGTCCAATGACCCCACCTCGTAAATGTGAGCTCATTGCTTCGACATAGTGTAAGCAATACCTTTAGCTACAGCTTTTAAAGTGTTGCTTAATGTTTACATCAGAAGAAAGTGGCACAGGAATCTTGATAAGGAAATAATAAAACTCTGAGTTTTAAAATAAATATAAATTAAAAATGTAGTAGGCATCTCTACTAAATATATCAACCTTTTTAATCCATTTCACGCAGAATTACACGAGCTGAGTCTCTTGCGACCATCCAATTCTAGTTAAAAGTTTTTATTGTTGTACCATTACGTTTTCTCGAAATGTTGTTTGGAATATGTTTCGAGAAATAATAAAACTTCAGGCATTAAGTTTAAGCACGTACTTCAAGATTATCTAAATTTGGCTGAGACGTACAGGAAAACAGTAATAATTTATTTTAGTATCGTAATACATAGAATCCTATTTGAATTTATTTTTATTATTTTTGAAATGTATTCCTTAGCATAAAAATTGTTTATTAAAAAGCTTTTTATTTACACTTGTCTAAAAGCAAATCTAGTTGTTTGTATTTTAGTAACATTTAGAATATAATAAAAAAAAACATTGAGCCACTGTGCCAATTATAGGCTCACGCTAAAATTCTAAAAGTTAACCAAATTTTCATTAAAGTGCAAAGATAGATTGCATTTTAGATAATGATAAATCAGCAAGTACCAGTTACAAAACTCCGTGAAGAAATAAAGAAAGCAGTTACGAATACGGTTCTAAAACGAAAAACTCGTGTACATACATTTGGGATAGTAACAAAGTTCTTTGTAGTGTTGCTTTTTCTCAGCATCAACCTACAATGTC